GTATGATCTGAAGCGAATCGTCTTATATTCCTCTCAGATCAAAACAATCAAAGAGGCTTTTTGAAAGGTGAAATTTCTCTATGAAAATTATCATGCTTGCTCCTTTTTCCACGATCCGATTATTTCTTTGTATATGTGGTGATTTACTTGGTGTGTTTTCGCATACTGTTTTGCTTCAGCTTCTCGAGACGAGCTGGGTATTTGGATACTGTGATCTTCAAAAGCTGTTTCTAGGTTATTCACAAGGCTTTCTGGTTTGTTTTTGCCTTTGGATCGAGCTTCGATTGAAAGAGAGAAAGTGAAAAGTTTTGATCTTTGATCAGATCAAACACGTAGTGTTCTTGTGTGTGTTGCTTTAGTGAAAAGCTTCTTAGTGTTGAACTCGAAATGGAAACGCTTATTGTAGCAGTGGAACATAGGAATCAGTATTATGGGAAGAGATCTCTTGGAAATGATCGTTTTAAGTCAGCTCCTTCGAAAACTTTTAGGCAGATTAATTGTAGAACCTTTCAATCTGGAGTTGGTTTGCTTCCAAGACCAAAGAGAACTTCTTCAACACCTATAACCAAAGGAGCTCTTCCTAAGGTTCAGTCTCCTCGTTCTCCTAAGTCCGTTTTACCGGTGTTTAATCCTCAATCTTTTGAAAGCGGTAGATCCAGTCCCATTCCAATTACTAACAGCAGAGGCTCACAGATCCGTAGGTGTTCTAGTGAGTTTGTTGACAAAAGGAGAAGCTTTTCGTACTCTGAGCTATGGGCAGGACCTACTTACTCCAACTCGCCTCCGGCTACTTCTGTACCGATTCCTAAGTTTTCTCTTCGGCAAAAGAGGACGGTATCATTGAGCTTTCCTATTCTTGACTCTGTTGTTGATATACGTGAAGGTGTTAAGTCTGCGCCGGTTTCTCCAACCTCATCTAGTGACAATCCTTTTCGTAGTACTGTCTCTGCTACTATGACACTGCGTCGCATGCTCAATCTTGAGACTGCAGATGAATGAAGAAGATTGGGAGCCTTTAGGGGGAACGGGGTTAGTTTTTAGGTTTATGCACATAGAAATAAGGTGTTAGTCACCAAGCTGGTTTGAGTTTGTTTTCTTAGCTTATAATGGCGAATGATGGTAAAGGAACACGGAAGCAGCCTTTGACTCAGAGTTAGTCAGCAGTTACTGGAACTCTGATGCAGATTGGGGGTGTTGTTAATGGTGGAACAGCTGGTTATAGTGGGTAGAAACATTCAGGAAGCAGATTGAAATCGCGTAAAAGATAAGACTTTATTCTTGGTTTAGCTTATAGGATGGCTAAAGATTTACCAGTCTCTAACATATACTAAGTTCATGTGGTGATGCTTGAACATTAGCCCTTTGTATAGTTTCTCTTTAGAGTCGTCTTTTTTTTCATTCCGTCTTTGGGTTCTTTTCTTTAGTGGGTTAGATAGCATCTAGCTAACCTGTATATTGCAGTAGAGCCTTTGATCATATTGGGTTTATGTTTTATACTCTTCCAAGTTCGAACGTCTTTTCAGGGTCGCTTTTTTTGTGTCATTTCTCTTGTATCTCTCTCTCTGTTCATATCTTCTTCTATTTTTACTTTCATTTCTTGAGTCTTCTTCTTGTCCTTCTCATTCGTTTCTGTCCAGCCTCAAAAGATGTAAAACTAACTACTCTCCTGCTAAGTGATCTTCCTCTTCGCCTCTTTTCCGGTTTTTTGAAAAGGAAATTAGGGAAGATGAAGTTTTACTGGCCCTCGTAGACTATCTCTACTGGTAACTTCATCCAGATTCAGACCATTTCAGTCTATTCTTCAGGTTCTTACCTAGAACACTTTTGTCTCATTGGAGTTTTGAGATCCCGCCTAATCTGCTCACCAGGTAAATCTTGCAGCTCGTCTTTAACTCTTCCAATTAAAGAATCTGGAATGTGTAGCTTAATACAAGTTTTGTGACTCTTGTAACAGGGGCCTAGAGAAGCTGCGCTGCTCTACTCTGCTTTTGATGCTGCTTCTTAGTTTCTTTGTCTCTACCATCTTTGGCTGTTTTGTTGTTGCACAATGACTTTGAGTATTGTCTCTGTGTTTGAAACTGTTGTCTGTTGTGTTTGAAACTGTTGTCTGTTGCTTCCACAAACGTTTGGTTGTTTCTTGTCTCTTTGTAGTTTGTGACAAACAGTGTTGTAGACGTTTTGCTATCTTTGTTTTGAGTTTTTAATGCATCCCTAGTTCCCTAATTAATTATCTTTATTCTTATCTATATGTCAATTGAAAGTATTTTTGTGTAATATTATTTTGTAAAATTAGTATTTGTTCTGTAATTTATATGTGCATGTTAAACAAATTAAAACAACTATTTATATTCTTTTTTATTTGTCAAATGTTTATTATACTAGTTGATATTGTATTATTAACAAAAAAAATATAGAGAAATTTCATAAAATGCCATTTTTCAAGTGGTACATCGTAAAAATGCCACACTTTTGAAATCTTTACAAAAAATGTTATTTTTTCAAAATTATTTTTTTTATATAATATATGTTTGGGTTAATTATGTTCTGTTAGGGTTTAGTTACGAGGGTTTAGGGGGTTTAGAGGTCAAAACATTTTTTAGTGTTTAGAATTTTAAGATATAGGATTTAAAAATCTATAATTAGTGGCATTTTTGTAAATAAACACGCATTTTTGTAAATAGTATTTTTGCAAATTCACCAAAAAAAATATAAGAACAATTCATTTGGATAATTTCAAACAATTAGCACCGAAATTTTGAGAAAACGGGCCGTAAAAAAGCCCAATGAACGACCTTCACCTTTAATGGGCATTTTGCTTGACGTGATATATTTTTTTATTTTTTTGACGTGATATATTTATATCCTCTTGTGAGAACGATTTTCAATTTCTTTCTTCTTCCTCACTAAGTGTTAAAAAGACAAAAATTGATCCCTTTAATTATGGTAGTAGGCTAGAGTAACTATTAGAGACAATGTTAAGAAAAAACAAAAGAAATAGACATTTGGGACCAATTGAGAGAGGTTGTTGAAGATGATGATATATAATTGAAAGTTGTAAATGTTTGGTTTCTGAGTTTTTCATGATGGTTCATCATTACTATTGGGCCCAACAACAGCAGTAAAGGAAACTTTGGTTGTATTTTTTTGTTCGTACTGACAAATAAAAATATGTTAAAAGCACATTTTTGTTCTGTATTAATCAGTAACTATATTGTTTGCATAATTTATAGCTTCGTATAGTTAGTTAATACTTCTCTTTAACATGTTATTACCGAACTCACTTGTTAAATTGAGAATGAGATATGAGTCAATTTTTTCATTATTGATTGTTTTTGAGTTAGAAATTAATGATTGAAATTGTTAGCTATAGACCCTTATTAGCCATTTAGAGCTTGCCATGTCATAAAAAGGCTAAGGGACTAATTTATTTTTATACAAGGTATACAAATTAATTATCTTTAAATTGATACCATTAAAAGTGTTAGTAGATGTTAAGTATAAAAAACAATTCGGAAGGAGAAAATTGTAAAATGTATGCCGTATGCGCATGGGTGGGGTGTCCTACGTGGATGCATATGATAGGTTGGCGGAAGTGGTATCCTCTCTGTGCCTTCTCCTTTTCCTTTTTTTGATTCTCTCTCTTTCCAAAGATTCTCCCTTTTCTTTTTTTTCTAAATACTAAAGATTAGAGGAAAAAAAAAACAATAGCAACCAGCAATTTAGTATCTTATACTATAAAATAGTGAATATCAGAAAAAATAAGATGATATTTTTTTAAGAAAACATGTTTTAATTATATGTGATAGATATACCATTTATTAACAAAAATGTCACCCTTTGTTTATTGTAAATATTTGAAATTATGTTACAAATAAAAATGATTTATTCGGTACTTGCAAGATTATAAAGGTTTTTTCTTTGGTAAATTATAGGAAAAGAAAAAAATCACACTTGTCATCATGTTTTGAAAACCGGATCGGATTGGGGTCAAACCGGGTTCGACCGCGAACCGGCCGGCTAGTCGGGTTGAGTTGATCCGGATTTGAG